ACCATGTATAGTAAGGCGTTTTTAGCCGAAAAAAACCACCATGTATAGTAAGGCGTTTTTAGCCGAAAAAAACCACCATGTATAGTAAGGCGTTTTTAGCCGAAAAAAATCGACCATGTATAGTTCGGCGTTTTTAGACGAAAAAAATCGACCATGTATAGTAAGGCGTTTTTAGTCGAAAAAAACAACCATGTATAGTATGGCGTTTTGAGCTGAAAAAAACGACCGTGTGTAGTAAGGCGTTTTTAGCTGAAAAAAATGACCATGTATAGTCAGGCGTTTTTATCGGAAAAAGAACGACCATGTATAGTCAGGCGTTTTTAGCCGAAAAAAACAATCATGTATAGTAAGGCGTTTTAACCCGAAAAAAACGACCATGTTTCGTAAGGCGTTTTTCGCTGAAAATAACGACCATGTATAGTAAGGCGTTTTTAGCCGAAAAAAACGACCATGTCGAGTAAGGCATTTTAACCCGAAAAAAACGACCATGTATAGTCAGGCGTTTTTATCGGAAAAAAAACGACCATGTATCGGAAGGTTTTTTTAGATGAAAAAAACGACCATGTATAGTAAGGCGTTTTAACCCAAAAAAAAACGACCATGTATAGTAAGGCGTTTTAACCCGAATAAAATGACCATGTATAGCGTGGGTGTCTAACTCATTTCACATTGTCGGCCTCATGGGGCCTCAGTAGATGTCAAGTGGGACGGACCATTAAAAATGATACCATACTCTGCTATAAATAACATGTCTTTCCTTTGTTTTGGTCTGAAGATGCACAAGAACACTAGGAAAATGTTGAAATTTAATGAACATATCTTTCACAAAACATTTCATGAGGCACCTAAGATTTCCTGTGACAAATGTGCAATTTACTTTTGTCATTCACATACAGTCAAACCTCGGTTTTCGAACGTCTTTGCACTTTAAAGTTCAACAAGATTTATAAAGAAAGGAATTTTTAAACTATTTACACGAACATATAAAATCTAAATGTAATACCTGCCTACGCCTTTCAAACTAAGGAGAGTGTTATAATATGTGTAAAGAATAAAGTATTCACGTCCTTGACAGCGTCTGCTGTGTTGGGTCTGTCTCAGTGACAGACTGAGGCTGCTGTTGTCTTCTTCTCTGATTAAAACAATGTTGTCTTTTCTTCTGAAAACAGTGTGTCCCCCTAGCGGATATTCCATGAATTGCACTTTATTCAAAATATTCATTCCGTGTCTTTTATGCATTTTTTCACTTTTAAATTATCCTGCGGGCCTGATTAAACCCCCTCGCGGGTATGTTTGACACCCTTGTTCTTGGCGATCGTGAATAAAGTGCAAATAAAACACCCATTACGCACACTACCAAAAAATGCAAGCTAACTTTATTCATTGTTTCAAGATGCAGGGCAACTCCGCTAGAATAGTTGAGACGCAAGTCTCGTCTGGATGCTTGCGGGGTGCTCTCTGCTGGTCCCAACGGGGCCGGGGGGTTGAAGAACCTGCAAAACCCAAAGGATCGCGGTGAAATCAGACTTCGTTTCAGATTGGGGAGGAAACATCGGATGACTTTCTGAGGGCCCCGATAACTTTTCCCCCTCAAAGTATTCACTGTACAGTCAAACCTCGGTTTTCGAACGTCTCAGTTATCGACCAATTCAGTTTTCGACCAAAAATGTCGAGTTTTTTATGCCTTGGATGACGAACAAATTTCGGTTCTCGAACAAACTGAGCGCACTTGAATGCACCACTTGACTCCTTTTGACTCCATTTTAAAAACATAAAATTTGCTTTTCAGTGACATAGTGTATATATTGAATAGATTGAATTTCTTGGTGGCTTTTCCCACTTTTCATGATCAACTTTAATGTACTCCATATTATTGTAGCCTGGAAATAAAACCTCTTTATCAAAGAGGTCATCCCACACACAATAAGACTATTGTCTAGTTTGATGTTTGTTTTGTTTTTGTCCACTTCACACCTGTCAGTCTGAGAAAGGGAACAGTCAGGTTTTGTTTTTTTTGTTTAGGTTTTTTTTTTTTGGTGTGTATGTGCCCTGCAATTGGCTTGCAACCAGTTCCGCATGTAGCCTGCCGCTGGCCCAAAGTCAGTTGGCCAAGTTCCAGGTAACTCATGTCATGTAATGAGCCATACAGAAAATGGAAATAGCACAAACCTGTCTGGTGAGACGATCAATCAAACAACATGTCAATTTGACACATTTGATTACCAAATAAGTGATATTGTTACATTCTTGTCCTGCTACATCTGATGAATAACATTTTTGGTCATATGGCAAAAACTAAAAACGAATCTGGTTCTGTAACAAGATGGAATAGTTTTCTTTTCCATGTCCTGGGCCACCACAATAAAAATTTCACTTAAAAATCAGTCATGTCGTTTTTGCCTAATCCTGCTCGCAAACTCACCAACCAAAGGCAATCAAAACCTAAAACTCTCCCACTGAAAAGCCCTTTGTAGACAACATAATGAAACTCTCAATCCTTCTGCAAAGGAGCCCAGATTAGGTAAAAGCGGAGCCCATGCCTCTTCTTATCTTAATTATACTCTGCAAATCGATATGATTTAATCAGCAGATGGTTAGCTTTAATGAATATGTTTGCCCTTATAACATAGATATTGATTAGGGCCAAAAGTCAATTCGATGGAGTCATGTGTTTTAGGTTGGACTGATATTCTCCATCACTGTCGCAGAGGCAAACCCGGCATCTCTGGCTGCATTCCACGAAAGTGATTTTAAAATTACACCGGAATGCCAGTGAAAGACTTTGTTGCTGCAGACACACACAAAAAAAAAAAAAAGGTCTTCTCTTGTAATTTACATCACTGAAAGCAGAGTGAGGTCCCCAGAGAAACGGGCGGTGGTATCTCCTGGAATCTCTAATTGGATTACGTTCTATTGCTTCATTGCATGTCAAGCCTTGTTACCTTTACCTCAGAGAGATTAGAGACAATAGCCAGGGTGTGTGATACCAGATTGCCCACGCAAAAAAACGTACATTCGCGGTCACGGTGCACTGAGGTTGCATCCTATATGCGCTGCCATTTTGAGGATTAGCAAATTAAATGGAGTATCTTGTCTAGTTTTTTTTTTCCTTCATGTCCTGAGAAACCATCTAACCTCGCCCCGCCTTTATTCTCATTCCAGAAGCCCCGCCCATGTTGTTAATTGTTGGTGGATCAGTAGGTGGCGGCTGTGTCCTGCTCATTTGCGTCATCACGCTGGTCTCCATCTGCTGCAGGCACACAGGCAAAGGTGAGCTCAACGGTCAGTATGGGAAAGACGGCTCGCTCCAATTTTTTCCAAATCATACGATTGCGCCGTTATTCCATCTCAAGTCGCGTCAGATAACAGCCTCTACGCTTCATTTCTTGCAGGCAAAAGATGTACCCGACTCTCCAAGAGTGACATCAGAGTTCAAATTGTTCACAGTGATCACAACGCCACACGTGGCAATGATGACGAGGAGGATGTCAAAGAGCCAATGGTAAAACCTTTCTCATCCGTTCGAGACACAGTAACGCCATTCATAGCGAACATCACATCCTGGAACAGAGTCGTCTTGTTCTTATCCAAGTCGGGTCTTGTTCGCTGCATTTATTCATCAAAATATGCGTGGTCTTCCCTCAGGCTCCAAATAGTAGCGAGTCTCCCGGGACATCTCGCACAGAACACAGTGATCTCTTGGAAGAGGAGGAGGATGAGCGATCGGACAACAAGGTAAACACTCACTTGAAAAAGACTGCCAAATAGCAAGAATTGATCATTTCATTTTCGGTATCTGAAGTTTGCGATATACTCCAAAAGACACTCACCTCTCTATGCACTCAAGGACCCCACCAATGGTTACTACAACGTGCGCGGCCACGAAGATCGCCACATACGCGGCGGTGGCTTCTCAGAGTACGCTTCAAACCCTCGGCCCGTCTACACGCCATCGCAGCTGCCCTCCCCAAGCCCAATGTACGGCCAACATGGCACCCAACCACGAGTCTACGACTTTGCCCACCGATACGCGACCAATACACTGACCCAGCCCACGTACGAGCAACAAGCCGCCCAACAGCAGCCATCTCAACCAGCCACCATTTATCCCGCCGACCCCGTCTACAGCGGCTCCGCTTACCTGCCCGCAACCTACGGCCGCGCCTTCACCAGCTATGTCAAACCAGCCTCTTATGAGAAAGTGGACGCCTATGACCAGTCGGACGAGGCAAGCAAGGTGTCCAGCTCGTCCCGCTTCTCTTACGCCTCATCGCAAATGTCCTCCCAGCAGTCGGACTACGGCCGACCGTCACAACGTATGCAGACGCATGTTTGAATTAGACAAGGGGCGTTGGAAATCAAAAGAACCGATGAGTCGTCAACTACGTCGTTGCACCATGCACATGGGGGAGAACTAACATGAACAGAGACTTTGTCAAATTGGACAAGTAAACTCATTCAGTACCACCCAATTCTAGACCAAGTCTTAAAAGACGTTTAAAAACGTCTTTGGGAGTGAATGAGTTTAAGCGGAAGTCACTTCAAGGCGTTGACGTGGCCAATGGAGGTATTACGATCTCAACAAAGCCGGAGATTTCAGCAGATTGCGTCGTTCAAGTTCAACAACTAAATTCAAGAGTGACAACTCACCAAGTTTATGTCTGCATGATGACCACACATGAACCAAACATGTGTTGGTCCTCGATCGGTGGACTCGGAAAAACAGAAAACTTGACGAAGCGGCATTCAAGTTTACTTCACGTCAACGCCAAATGTGAAACATCAGCAATGAAGTTCCCACCGCTTAAAACGGACCTGAACAACCCGTCCGTCATCAATTGTCTTTTGCTGTTTTGGTTTGGCATGCGAGAGGAATACTAAGCACATTTGTGTGTCGATTACCAACAAAAGACTGGGCTAGCCACAGGAAGAAATGAACCTGCGATATTTGGGAATACTTTGGCCTGACCTGGACCCTTGAAAACAACCGGACCACAAAGTGTGAATCTTAGCCTTGTTTTCCATGAAGAATGATATGCTAACCGTGTGTTTTAAAAGAAGGCAAATGAAAAGGCCATAAAAACCCAAAGATTGTGAGCATTTTACAGGGTTGGGGTCCCAGTACTCATTCCTTGCCCCAGTACTGTTTTCTCCAGTGTTTTGTGATTGCGGAGGAGCAGGGCAAAGTAGGGTACTGTATTATACCGGAACAATCAAATGTGATAGTTTGGAAGTAACTTGGTGGCAATCTTGAACTTGAATGCCACGTCAGGTGGGGCAACATGTCGTCACTCGTCAGATGGACGGTTTACATCGAACTCAAATGGTCTGAAAAATGTTTACAAAAAAAACAGTACTACCCTGGAAATATCTGTACAAATGGCCTAAGCCCATGTTTTCTCTCTGTTGCATGCAAATGATGTGTCTAGTGAAAACCTTCCGCATTTAGAGTCATGTCCATTTCACGTTTGAGACGTTTGTTTCTGCACCTGGCTCAGTCGCATTCTACCTTGTGGATGTTTCAGTGTATGATGCCTGTACTGCCATTTGACGCTTGTTACCAGGCAGCCTGACGAGAACAAGTAAATAGTGGAGGCAAAAATCATCGCTTGTCTTTATTTTTCTATTTTATATAAGCCTTAATGTACAGCGTGTAAGCTGCTCTATTGTAAAATATCTTTATATAATATGTTATCAGTCTTGGTTGATTTATTTGGAGACACATTTTCTTGCTTTACCTTACCAATCATTGAAAGCTTCTTTTTTTTCTCACTAGTCTTTTTTTTTTTTTTTTTTAATCTCAACTAATTGCCATTTGCTTGTTCATTCTTTTAATGTATCAAGAATTTGATTTGCTAAAATAAGCTACCATTGCTTGTATCTTTGTACACATATTTATATTTAAATAAAACCATTTCCGATAAAGTCAGTTTTCTGTGTGGAATTTTGAGCAGCTCCATTGACAATCAAAGCTTCCCAAGTAGCAACAATGATGAATACATAAATTAGCAGCGCTATGTTGATTTTCCTATTCCCCCAGTGGTGCTCGGCTTTTAATGAAGACAGATGCCATCGTACAAATCCCGCTGAATGTATACGCTCCTCCCGGACGGCGGCATGCCCCATCTCGTGGTCTAATTGAACAAAACCGTGACAAAAAGCAGGTATTATTGACAATGTGAGTTTGTGCTGTCACCTGCGTTCCCCAGGGAGGCACACGGCTCGCCACAGGGACGTGAGGAACATGCTCATTAGCTCAGGACGATGTCTCACAAAAGGTATGCGTTTGTTATGCACAACAAAACAAATGAGGGAGGCCATGACCCGGTCAAACGCAAATCAAAGAGGAAATTCAATGAGGAATTGGGGAGAGGGGGAAACACAATCAAAATGGTTTATTGTTGTTACTTTTTCATATAGAACAAAAAAACAAGGAATGATGTAGACGGCCATTTAATGTACAAGTATTTGTCTGCAGTAAACAGTATTATTTCTTAAATTTCCTAAATATTTCACTTTTTAATAAATAAATTAAAAACTTTCAATCAAATGAAAGTCACTTTGTAAAACAAACCATGAGTCAAATTTTACATTGAGAAAAGATGTTTGAGTGTGCCATAATTGTGGACCAACAACAGAGCCCACCACATCCAGCGGAATCATTTTATCCTTGGCTACATGGAACTGAATATGTCGCTTGGTGATTTTCCAGCACTTTCTGGGCTTTTACATGGATGGATAGATTTGACCTCTCATAGCCAAATATTGATTATCAAGGCATGTTGATAGCCTGCTTTTCCAAGGTTTTTTGCAACTTTAGACATTGCACCCCCCCCCCCAAAAAAAAGATTATTTAAAAAATATCTACATTGGTGTGAAGGCTATAAACAAGCATTGTGGGTTCCTATTTGTTAGCTAAAGCCTCAAATCACGTAATAATCAAAAAATTTAAAAGCTCTTCAAAAACACATTGAAAAAAATTTTTTTGTGTGTCTCTAATGCCCAACAGTGGGAAAACATTGGCTAAATGCAGACAAGACTCATCTTTCATCTTGGGATCAGTATGTTTGTTCGATGATATTTTAATCTGTAAACAATGATAAGACACATAGGTTGATTACAATAGTGAATGTGAGTCAATGTGGCTAATGTGTGTGTCATTGTTGGAGAGGGAGGAGGAGTAAAACTACAATAAAGTGCTTGGAGTCATTCATGTGAGGGTCTGGGTCCATGCAATAACTCCTCAGGATGCTGCTAAAAAAAAAAAACAAATACAGTCGGGAATGTTGCATCTCCACATCCTTTAGCCCGAGCTTCACAGCTCATCATCCCTTTCCTGTTCGTCACATGATCAAACACCAGTCTTCGTTTTGATCCATTCTCTCAGTTTGGTGACACGAGTGTAGACACCGGGTTTGTTGCGGCGAGCGCAGCCCTCGCCCCAGCTCACTATCCCGGCTTGGAACCACTTCCCACTCTCCTCAAAACACACCAGGGGGCCTCCGGAGTCTCCCTGGTGAGCGGGGGGGTCATAAAAGAAGGGTTACGAGTTTGGCACTGGCGGTGAGAGCACTCACAGGGGTGTGAAGAACATCTCTCTATTCGCTTCCTCTCACCTGACATGCATCAATTCCTCCAGTTAAGAATCCGCTGCAGAGCATCCGGGAGGTCACCTGGCCCTCCGTGACGACATTGCACACGGAGTCGTTGATGATTTTCACCGACGCCTTCTGTAGGAGCTGCGCCTTTTGACCTGAGAAAACAGGACAAAGGGGTCAGCGCTCCACAATGTTCGCGGCTGAAATCAAAGGTGTTAATGGGCCGGATTAGTGTTAGCTAATGAAGGTTTAAGAGGCTTCCCGGAGGAAGCGGCACCCGTCTTGATGTATGGATATGGCGAAAGGCTTAATGGAATAGAGCAGATTAGGAAAAAAGATGAGAAGGAAGAGAGGCAGGAGAGAAGCGTGCCACGATGTGAGGGAGAAAGAAGCAGGGAGGACATTAAAGGAAAGCAAGAGGAGGGGATGAAATGGAAGAGATAAAAAGAGGAAGCGCAGAATGATGGAAGATGAAGGGCTGAGATGAATAGCTCGTTGCGAGAGGCATGGGGGAGGAGTGCAATGTCTTAATTTTGATGAGCGTTGGATATGCAAAGTGGTGAAACACGCTCACACCTCGTACTACGGAGTGGGTCACCCATAATTGGGGAATAATAGTTGAAATGTACGGAATGGGTATAATAATTACCCATCTTAAAAATAGAGCAGGACTAAAGATGTAAGCAGAACATCCAATGTATGCGGAATACCTCCTTCTCGGAGTGCGCCCCAACCCGTGACCGTGCAGGCCATGCCTGCGGGGAAGACGTGGGAGGGAGCGGGTAGGCAGACGGGTTGGATGGTATTAGTCAATTCCAGAGGCTCGTTGAGCTCCAGCAGTGCAATGTCATAGTCAAAGGTCATCTGGTTATAATCCGGGTGGCTGATGATCCTCTTCACAGAGCGGCGCTGGACATCATCGAGCCTATATTGGTCCTGCATGCCGCTGTACGTTTGCCAGTTGGACGCAACGTGATTTCTGTTTCAGCAAAGGGGTCGCAAAGGTTATGTAACTGCATCAAAGCTGGACAATGATGGAATACTTTGTGAAATAAAGAAATTCAAGTCAACATTATTAGTCTGCACAAGGTGCAATTTACATTCTTTGTTTAGTTGCACTGTCTACACTCCTTATGATGATGTATTGCAAAGGAAAAGCTATTAAGTGATTCCCATTTGCAGTCTAGTGAATACTTTGGTGAAAGAATGTTGTTCTATTTTGCAAATATCAATATGTCGTGGAAATCTGCAGAAACGGTCAACTTCCTGCTCATTTACGTTGAAGTGCCTCAAGTGGTCCAGCATGGATAGTGCTCCACCTACAGGCCACTATGATAAGTGCAGCTCTATCCTTGTCCAAAATGAGATGTAAATGTAGGGCTCCCCCGCAAGGTTTTTCTGAATTAACTGTATCATCAGGGGCTCTTTTTCAGACTTTAAAATTAGTATAATATGTCCTCTGTTGTGCATAGTTCAAGTTTTTTTTCCATCAAAAAGGGTGCATAATGAGATCTGATAAAATTCCAAATATACGATGAATAATAAAACAAGATAACAGTATGCACAAGAGATCCCCTCTGCGTTTATACATCAAGCGTATATATATATCGTGTCTTTCAGCTGTGACTCACGCTTGGTCGGAGGTAACAAAGCAGTGGGCAGCTGAAAGGAGCCACTTTTCCGATATGATGGAGGCCCCACAAACGTGACCGTAGGTCATGAAGTGCAGGCTGACCTGCCAGGGCCATTCTCCCAGCTCTGCATTTTGGCCTCCTACGATCCGATTCAGTTTATACGGCCGGGTGCCACAATCTGGTAACGTGAGGGGAAAAGAAGTGAGCTGATGATGAAAAATGAGATAAGATGCCTTCAAGCTATTCTGTCTGTTAGGAACACTAATAAAAGGCAGAATGTCACATTATGTGATCAAAAATGAGGAACATGCCCCAGCCATACCCTAAGGCTAAATCTGAATAAAGAAATTATCCAGATAAAAGCTGCGTTCAAAGAATTAAAAAAATAAAGCAGTCAATGCCTAGGGCTTTTTTTTTTAAGCGGTGAAATGCACAGCCCAAAACTGCTTTTTTCATAATCTCCTTCAAATGACAATGGGGAGATTAAAGCCACTTTCAGATGAATACGGAATGGAGCAACGGGAAATAAAGATCAAGACAACTACTTACTACAGCCGGCTTCATCCGAGTGATCGGCGCAGTCGTCGACGCGGTCACATTCAGCGTTGACTTTATTGACGCAGTCGCCACTTTTACACTTGAAGCTGAAGTGAGAGCAGATACCCGGAGCTGCGACGGTCGGGTGAGGACAAGCAGCAGCCCAGATCAAAACATGTTCACTATTCAAATCGACCGCTAACTCCAACCAAAACAACATCGCGCAATCAGTGAGACTTCAAAGTGAGCCTCAAATGCATGATGCATTGTGATGCAGGAGAGTTCATTGATTAGCTGTATTGACCCGGCTCGAGGTCTAATATCCTGCTTTATTCACAGAAGTGAAACTAAGCAAAAGTCAAGAATGGCCGACAGGAACAAAAACAATATCTATTGTGAGACACAAACATGGAAGGAAGATTTTAAGGCAGCTGCTTTGTAAAGCCTAAACCGCCACTCCACTGTGGATGAAGCACTCAATGGCTGGCGTAACATGCTTAGAAATCACTCTCCTGTGGATTTTCAAACGCATGACTGAGCTGCAAGAGAATAAGCGGCAGCGCTTACAGGTTTTACACGAGGCCTCGTCACTGCCATCCTCGCAGTCCGTCCGGGTGTCGCACACGACATCCTGTGGCATACACGTTCCATCCCCGCAGCGCCACTCGTTCTCCTCGCAACCTGTATGTAAATGGGGAATACATTAGAAATACCATGGAAGAGGGCAAAAAATGAATACAAACAAAAACAAAATATGGTTTTGCTTGACTTACTACAACTTTGCTCGTCGCTGCCATCCCCGCAGTCATTAACGCGATCGCAAACCCACAGTTTAGGTTTGCACAAACCATTGCCGCAATTAAACTGGTCCTTGTCACACTCTGTAAAGGGAAACACAGAGTCACATTTTAAGCATACGAGGAAGAAAAAGGAAAATCAGCGTTTCAGGCCGAAATGGCTCACAATATACGTTGTGACACACTTTGAAGCTTTTAACATCAACAACAGAATTAGTAGAACATTAGCTCCTCAACTGAACTCAACTTTATTTATAGAACGCTTTAAAACAACCATTGCTGCATACAAATTGCTGTACATGGAGTAAAGTAAAATTCTCTTGGTGGTTGGCACACATTTAGAAGGCCAGGAAACAGATCTGT